ACGAACAAACATGAACACAAGCAATAAAGCTCGAATCAAACACGAATTAAACTTGAACAAACTGATAATAAATGAACTCAAACATGAATACTCACATACTCAGCTCAACTCAGTCATTTGCAGCCCTAAAGCAGACATAGGGTATCTACAAGCTCTTAAAAATGATGCACACATTCAAATGATAATCATTCATATAACTGTTTTTCACCAAATATTTTAAAATGCCTGTACAAGCATTGCAACAGGCATACTAATTCATGTAAACATGTCATTAGCATCGCAAGATGCATTTGTGCTATAATAGTGCATTACATTCACAGACCAACATATTGCACACGCATACAATCGCAACATGTAAAATGCATTATAATGAATGTGTCATTCAATATGCAGGATATATTGTGCACATGTACATTGCAACATACATCGTGCGTTACACAAACACATTATTCAACACGCAAAATGTATTGCAACAACAGCGTGCCCTGTTGGCATGCATATATATTATGCACTACATGCAAGCCCCGAACTATCATGCAAATATATCATGCGAACAAATCAATAACGTATAGATACGTTATGCATGCATGTTATCAAATGTACTAAACGCTATGTTAATGCGCTAGGCCACTACATCGCATATCAAGATTTCATGCAAAAATGCAAATGCATCTTTCAAAATATATACATGCATGCAAACACATAAATACACAGATACACATATTAACATATAAATGGGAATATATGTGTATGTGCCATGGTTTAAAATTGCACAATATGAGGCTCGCCTTGAGGCCCGGCTTTGCGCAATTCCAATAAAAAACGCCTCGATGCTTACGCCTCAAGTTTTTTTTATGAGGCTTGCGCCTCAACTTAGTTGAGGCCCACCTCGCCTCACTGGCTTAAGGCTTACGCCTCACACTATATATATTAAAACTTACATAAATCTTGAAGTAAATGCCCGACATTGGACTCTATAGGAGAGGAGGAAGGGAGAGAACAATTCACCATAATGATGATTCAAATGAAGAACCCCTTAGTGATGACAGTGCTGATGACTTATGAGTTCTTATGTGATATGTCATTGCTATTTATTTTTGGAAATTGGAATTATATGTTAATGAAAAGAATACTGGGATTTGGGAAAGATAAAATTTTGAGTTGAACTATATTTCATGTTGTCTTATTATTGAGATATTTTGATTTCACTTCATGTCTTATGCTTTTTTTTGTTTTATATTATTCACTCATTAGTATATAAAAATTTATCATTTTATGTTTACGCAATCTTTTGATTTTGAGGCTTACGCCTCAAAACACATTGAGGCTTACACCTCGCCTCACGAATGAAAAACGCCTCAATATCCGAATAAGCAATTTTAAACATTGGTATGTGCTAACATGCACATTGATCTTACACATCCATTATAATGCATGCATACAGCCACTATAAAACACATTATGCAAATTGCATGCAAAAATATATACCTACATGGGTCCCGACGAGCATGTTATAGATACGCACGTGACTTATAAGGATGCTGGGCGAGTCAAGAAATGAATATAAGTTCGAACCCGATCATTCTATGTGGGTAGATAGGAGTCGACAAGGATCAAACACTCGCTAATTTGATGAATGAAGGGATCATTCTGGATGGAAGCGAATAGAACCACGTTCGAGCCTGTCCTTTAAGGGTGACAGGAAAAACCTGGCAAAGGAGTGCATCCGATGATCGTTGAATATGCATGATGATTCTATAGTAGTCGATATGCTCATATGGGTCGGACGTCCCGTCTTAGGACTCGACATTCAGTACTTTGAATCCAACCGAAATGGGGTGCTGAAGAATGGCTTCAGTTAGAGGTGATGACTCCTAAAAGTTCCTAATAAAGATATAAAGCCGACATCGAACCTAATCCTCTATCGCAAGTAGATGGAGTCGACAAGGTTCAACTGAAAAATGAAATTGTCCATCAATACCTCGATGGTGGCCATGTTGACAAAAAATCTCAACCAGATAGGACCACAAACATTTAAAATACCTCTCAAATTCCCACAAGAATTCAAAACTCAGAAAATCACCAAAACCTAAATATTTAAAATCGAAATGAAAATAACAAAATGCTTAAAGAAAAATAAAAATCCACCCTCCGCAACAGTTTGCCGAAGAGAACAAGTTTAAAAAGCACGGTAGCTCACAAATAGCAAATGTCTGGTCGAGAATATCACTATGATTTATTATCAAACCATCTCTTACAATTAATGATGTGGCATGTGTACTCTAATCGATGGTTTCGTCTCCAAATGGCACCACAGATAAGAGGTTATGACCAAGACCTTATGATCGGGCGGTTTTGTCGCTAAATAACATCATTATATCACAATCATGGTCAGAGCCCACATGCTCCCCAACATCGTTAAAATCATGGAGTAATAAATTAATATGATATAATCGATAAAGCACAAAGCCCTTTGTTAACTAAGGTGGATTCAAATTTGTCTCCTTAGATAAATATTCATCCCAGGTCTACAATATAACCTTGGACAAAGCAACACATGGCTGCCGACAAGGATCATGTTGTCAGGTTGGATCGACTACCTCCTTTGACTCAGTAGACCAGTGATCATGATGTCCTGGGATGACGGAACCATGGAATCTTGATCGGGTTTATCATCACTCCCCTCACCATCTCCTTTAAGTGCAAGGTGGCAAATTTTTAATTTTAAATATCAAAGCTCCACTGCTACTATAAACCATATATATATATATATATATATATAAAGAAATGAGCCGCGGGGAGGCCATGGCGTGAATTTTCGAAGCCCACAGGTTCCTTTATTTTCCTTGAAGATTTTCAATTATCTTTATATATATTAAACTTATTGGTGCAAGATGGTTTAGATTTTTGGTTTCATAATGCTACTGAAATGATGTAATAAATGTTAATCATGCAAGAGAAAAAGAGGTTTGATGTGGTGAGATTCTAATGATTAATGTTTCTTGAACAGCTTCAATCAGACATCACCTTCATAACCTGGCATTGAACTTTTATTGTTATCCAACATTCTTGCCAACAGTATTCAAAAGGCAATTTTTGCTTGAAGGAACCTATTCCTTCATGGTACTTGATAGTTTGATTATTTCACATTCCCTTGTGAACAAGTGTAACATGTTGTGGAACCTTTTTCTTTGATCACATGACTTCTGAATTTGTGTGTTTTACTATAATAGCCTTTGAATATTTTATGCTTACCCACTTCTCGTCTGCATGTTCTCTAATAGCGTTAGGTCATTGCATGAATCCCATATATATGTGAAACATTTTTTACATTAGCATTAAATTATTTAATGCTTTTGTTCATTTATTTCCCTTCAAGAGAATGGGTTATCTTCTTATATATTAAACTTATTGGTGCAAGAAGATTTATGGTTTAGATTCCTAATGCCATTAGAATAATACAATGAATATGATCATACAAGGAAACTAACAATTTACAGATCAAAGATTACTAAATATGCAAAAAATAAAATTATTCTCTCCAGGTGCAAACTAAAAAAATATGATAATTAGAACCCAAATGATCATGTAAAGATCAAATTAATATGAGGAAATTGAAAGAAAAAACAAAAAATAGAATGTTGCAAAATCAGAGAGCAATCGCAATTTATTCACCACAATTATAATTCCAGTCGTATTAAACTTGACCAAAATCAAGAATGTTGGCAAGCTAATAACAAATTATTTAGAGGAAACGAGATACATATGCCTCATGTCACATATCCACATGAGATTGAAAATTTAAAATAGGTAGTCGCATTTGTACCGTTCTCAAATGAATCACTCATCTATGTTCCACATGAGATTGCAAATTTAAAATAGAAATTGTATTAAATCTGTGAAAATGATTTGCTTCAGACTAACTATTTATAGGCTTCTCTTTCCTAGAAACTTAAGCAACAATCCCAAGTCATTTGTGTGTATTCCAAGAGATGACACTTGGCATTTTTTTATTGCTGCCAATGTAATAGCATCAAATTTGAATACAGATACATTTAATAACTATCATGGGACGTGACTCATATCTTTACTTTGAAAAGTATAATTATTTTGTTGTCAGACAGTCACACATCCACCTTCAACTATTTATTCTAATATTTAACTATCACTTCATATATATGTTAGACTGGTCCTTAGTGGACCGGTCCAGCCGGCCCCTTCTAAGGGGGCCAGTTCATGTCTATAGAAGAAGGGGTGCGGTGGCAAGAGGAGAGAGAGAGGTGTTGGGTGGGGTCCACTAGAGATTCAAATTCAAAGTTTGAAGCCAAAGGAGGGGGCGGCAAGGGCTTTTGGGTCTTTTGCTTTAATGATTAATTGTATGCCTTAAGTATGGGGGAGAAATTAGGGTTAGGGTTATGTTTGGGGTCTTGGGCTCTAGATTCATCTAGAGATTGGGAGAGAACGATCCTCCTCTCGAATTGAGAATCAATTGTATCTTTGTTTTGTTTGCTTCCGTTGTTTTGATTCCTACAATAAAATTTACTATTTTTTTATTGTTTTTATTGGAATTGTTTAGTTTTTCCCGCTGTTTTTATCAATCCTGTTAAGGTTTTCTTGAATTATTTAAGTATTTCCTTTCAATATATCATTATTTTAAATTTGAATTTAACCTTAACAATATTTTTATTTTTTTGCTGATCATTCAATCACTTCAATAGACATGTCGGGTCTTTGTTGTACAACTAATATCCAGTCACCTTTTTGCTATTTCATTATTTCTTGCAAAGTAATGTTATGTTCAACCAGTCATTAAATTTTTTGATCATTACTCGTTAGCTTATTATTAATGACAGCATTTCGTGAAGAAATTTGACCATTTACTAACCATACTTCACTTTTTCTTTCACCTAGCGACATCAACTGATATCACTAATCCATATTTATTTCATCTTCTTCCCTTAATTCTTCTCTATCATATCTGCTTCTCTTCACCTTGGAAGGTTGATTGATGCACTGGAGATGATGAAACAAGGGGTTCAACGCCTCCTTGTGCGCAAGAGTGTTACATGGAAAGGTGTTAGCAAGCGCTTTTCCATCCTTTACAACGGAAAATGGCTCAAAAATTCTGAATCGTCTCCCACAATTTTACCAACCAACTCATGTGAAAGCACTAATTTTCCTTCTTCTTCATTATCTAAAGAGAACAAGTACTGCTGCCTATCAAGGGAAGATGTCATCCGCTTTGTTATTGGCTGCCTTGGCGCCCTTGCTCCAATACCCCTCTCCTCCATATCTTCTCTGGCCACTTTGAATACTAACTACTACTACATTGAGGCCTCCTCCCCAGCCCTTGAAATTCTCAACAATTTTCCGGAGAACCCATGCGCTGCTGCCGTCGTAGAGACCTCGGCAGATGGTACTCGGAAGATCATCGGTGAGATATCAGCGTACAAGCTATGGAAATGCGACTATGTAGCGGCCGCCTGGGCCATGGCTAACCTTTCAGCTGGTCAGTTTGTGATGGGCTCTGAGGATGAGGACCAAGACTCGCTTCCAGACTTCATTCTCACTTCGCAGCTGGAAAACGGCATCGCCGAGTCTCCCAGGCACAAGAGATTCAGCAGTCGGAGCATCGGGTTCTTAAGCCAACAGCCATTGGGCGGCCTGCGGTCGATGCGGAGCATGTATCGCGGCCGCAGTGCGCCTCTAACCTGCCGGAAGACGAGCTCTCTTGCAGCGGTCATGGCGCAAATGCTGTCGCACCGGGCAACACACGTTTGGGTGACCGAAGTTGAGCCAGAAGAAAACATTCTTGTTGGCATTGTGAGCTATAATGATATCCTCCATGCAATTACTAAGAACCCTGCTACTGTTTCTACAGTCATGCCATGAAAACATTTGAGCTGCTCTATTTATGTTTTTTTATGTTTAGGGTTGGATGGTTATTGAGTAGCTTATTGATTATTGTTTGATTTTGCAGATTTATGTTAATGCAAAGCACAGCTTGTGTTAATACTGAATATTTTAGTGGCAGGATTTGATTTCTTTCTGTACAATTTCTGTGTAGTTTTCGCTTCTATTGCAAAATTCCATTCTACAGTTAAACCTGAGAGAGCTTTGTTCAGTGCACTTTCTTTTCTACTTCTTGTGTTAGAACTATGGTTGAGAGCAGCAAGATTATGGCTTTGTTTGGGATGATTTTTTTATTACTTCTTAAAACAGTTTTTTAGTACAAAGATTTTAATTTTTATACTAAAAAATTAATTTAAGAAGCAGTAAGAAAGCTGTCTCAGTCGAAGCCTATGTTTATTTGCAATTAATTTTTTTTCTCATTTGTACTGTCTGTAGGAGCAAAAAAAAAAAAGAACTTGGTAAAAAAAAAAACAGAGAAGGAATACAATCTATAAATGTTTAGAGTTATTTTGATCTAAAATGTTTAGAGATATTTGGATGAATAAAGTTAATGGAAGTGATGGCCAATGATGGTAATGGAGTCAGTTTCCTGTATATTTTATTATATGGCCGAATATGGACAAATTTAATAAAATATTTTTAAAATTTTATTTTGCATTTTTCATTAAATAAAATATCAAAAATTTTAAAATCTTTGCATTGAAAATATTTTTCTCTTCTTCAAATAAAACCTCTAAATTTTCACTCATCACATTAGTTGCATTGAAGAAGTAGTTGATTGCTTGTAGGGAAAGATGGTTTCATTGAAGATGATGTGGTGAGAAGTATAGAGTTTTTAGGTGATAGGATCAAGACAACAATATCATTTCTGAGATGAGGCATATCCAATGAATACACATGGACTGGATAGGGAGGTAATTTTTGAGATGGAGTAAGGACATAGCCACAAGTAACACAAACATCCAAACATTTTGAGCTGGGTCTATGTAGGTGGTTTATTGTATAATTTTTCATTGGGGGTGGATAGGCGTTTGATGATATGGACAGAGCTTTGACCCATAGAAATGGACGTATATTTGCATGAATAAGTAGATTGTGAATAGTTTCCAAAATATATCGGTGTTTGTGTTAGGCCACTCTATTTAGAGGAGTGTATGGGAAAGTATATCAATGATGGATACCCAAAATTTTGCACAGGGTATGAAATTTATTATTAATGTATTCCCCTCCACCATATATGCAAATCATTTTTATCATTGTATTAAATTGGCATTTGATCATATTATGAAATTCAATGAATTTGTGAATTACATCAGATTTTTGAATGAGAGGGAAAAACCCAAAAAAAAAAAAAATTGTACTAATCGTTAATGAATGACACATAATAGCGATATCATTGTATTAAGATGATGGGGGATGGTCCCCATACATCTGAGTGTACAAGTTTAAATGGAAATTTAGTGGTCGACATTGACTTAGAGAATGAAAACTTTCGATTCTTAGCTAAGTAACAAGTGTTACAATGCTTAGTAGGTAAGTTGGTACATATGCTAGAATCATGACGGGCAAGGAGTTGAAGTGTGTTGGAGGCCGAATGTCCAAGACGACTATGTAAGAGATTAGGGATGGTTTGTAGGGAGAGTAAAGCTAGTGTTATTTGTGTGGTAGAAAATCAGATAGAGTAGAGTCCATTATGGCATGATCCCTGAAGAAGAAGTCGATTGGACTTTGAATCCTTGATTTGGTATCCCTGGGAAGAGAAGGAAACAATACATTCATTGTCAGAAGTCAGTTGATGAATATATAAGAGATTAAACTAGAAATTGAGCACATAATGGAGTTTGGTGAGAAGGAGATTACCTGTTGGTGTGGGAAGTAAGTCTTTACCTATGTGTTGAATTTGCCTAGCACAACTTGGGTATTGCCACTACACGATTTGTTGGAGCTGACGTGGGATTGATTAGTGGGGAGATGCATCGATGCTTCACTGTCTAAATACCATTCAGACTGGCGAGGTGTTCCATATCTGCTGAGGAGTGCTTGTTTCTAGGGGGTATCTTGGTAGGGGGTATGTTGGGGAGTGGTTTGGAGGAAGGATGGATGATCTGTCGAGGAACCCTTTGAAGCCAATCGCACAGAACACATTCTCAACTTGCAACTGCCAAATAGGATAGTTATAGGAGGTTAACTGTGTGGAGACCATGTTATTGATGTTACTAATCACTTGAGCTATGATGGAATAATAATGTGGTTGAGAGAGGACACTGAGTCTACAGTTAGAGGTGAAGTAGATGATCCATCCATTGGGTGACGATAAAGGTAGAGAGTAAATGACAAAGAGACTTTGAGTAAACAATTTAACTGTTAAAATTGTTGTGCTCTGATTCCATGTTAACCAGCAACACTAGTGAGGTAAAAGCAAGAAATAGCAAAAGGTAAAGCGAAAGGACAAAAGGAAGTAAAGCCATATTTCATGTATGCATTCAAGTATGCAATATCTTTATATATAGAGACGTGATTATATCAATGGTAGAGATGTGATTATATCAATGGTTCATATGAAAATCATCCTATGGTTCGGAATAATGATTAACTATTTGGAAGCTTTTTGCATGTGCCTTTTGCAGTGGTGTGCATTCCTCTTTTGCTATTTTAGCATTATCCGTTCACAAATGAGCTAATGAATCAAGCTTGAGCCAGTCCTTAATCGACTCGTTAGCTCATGAGCTGGATCATTTAAAGATACTTAAACAAATATACTTCCAATATTTAGGATTCAGAATTTTAATTACAAAGTTTTAATAATGTTTTAAAATTATATCTCACTTTTAAATTAATAGATTTTTTTTATAATTTCTCATTTTTTCTATCATTTTAATTTGATAATTGCTTATATCATAATCATTTTACCTCTTTTATAATAAACAAGCCGGCTCGATGAGCCGGCTTAAACTCGTAGAATAAAGCCCAGGCTTGAACTCGAATTTGCTTAATTAATCAAACTTAAGCTCGTGCTCAAGCCAGAGTGGCTTGACCTCGAGTCGACTCATTTACACTCCTAATAAAAATATTTATAAATCATTTTTTCTAATGCTTATTGTATGCTTCCAGCACAAATGTTTTAGAATTCCAGTTGTGAGCTTAAACTCTTTGAAGATTCATTTAGTTGAATTTTATAGTCTTTTTGTTTTTAAGCCCACATATTTCTCCTGAAACTACATACCAATTTTTGAGAAACTACAGTTGGGTAGGCGTTACAGCCTATGCCCTTATAATAATTAAGTGCAAGCTACCAAAAATAATACCACTAATTTTAGTCTCTTCACTAAATTTAGATATATATATATTTGGAGCATTCAATTAATAAGAAAAAAATGTATATCTTGATTAATAAAATTGATTAAGATGAGCTTTAAAATTATTAAATCTACTCTGAGATGAGTGCAATAAATATATAATTCATATCACATTCCTTCCAAGACAAATCTAAAACTTTAAAGCCTTACTAAAAAAATTATTCAAATTATCCTCACATTTTTTTTTTCATATTATTATGATTAAACTCACACTTCGTTTGGAGCAGCTTTCTTATTTCTTTATAAAAAAAAAAAAAATTAGTTAAAAATTTCTTGAACTAGAAATTTTTTATATTAAAAATCTGCTTTAGAAAGCAATAAAAAAAGTATCTGAAATGAAATCTTATCCTGCCTAAGAAGAAGCATTTAACAACATTCAACAATTATATTAAGCAATTACTGATCATTAAGAGCTATAGGCCAAAGCCTTTTTTGATATCCATGTTTACAAGAAAACACAAAAGTAAATGCTGGTCATAATTGCCACACAATTTCGCTATTCCACTTGGCAAGAAGAAAGTGCATCACTGAGTATTGTTTTGGAGATCAGCATGGCTTCAAGAAGATTATAAATTTGCAACATAATTAAGACAACAAAACAAAAGAAATTCAAACAAACAAAAGCAATAATAATCCAAGCATCTTAGAATTTAGCATAACCATAGAGAATTCTCACATGAGCCCTTTTTATAACCATTTCCCCATACTCAAGGTGGTCAACATGTAACCTTTGCCTTTTCAAAATCTAGAAGAAATAGAGAAGGGACATTAGAGTAACATGGAGGTCATATGTCACAAGAAAATTTTGATCACTTCTAGCAAATCCTTTATTCATGTTTGTATCTACCTTATCTAGCATTGGATCGATCTCTATGAAGTGTGATTGTTGCACTCCATGCTTGCAATTGATTGTACTATAGGGTGAATTATTGTTATCCCAGTAGCACTACTGGAAACCAAAAAAAGAACTTGGGACTCATGGAGATGATTCTTCCATATATAAAGATTGTTTGCAGAATCCAAAAAAGTAGGGGTGACAATATTTAACACGACCCAAAAAATTGATTTGAATCCGACCCAAAAATTTTGAATTAGAGTTAACCTGATCTCGAAACAGGTAGGGTTCGGGTTGAACATTTCAACATGTTTAAAAAATTGTGTTAGGTTCGGGTTGACCCTTTGACATGTAATTGACCCATTTTTTACCCGAAAACCGCATTTTGACCCAGCAACCTGAGATTGACCCATTTTTTACCTGAAAAGCGGAGATAGACCCATTTTTGGACACAAAAAACTGGCAATTTTTTTATGAAAATAGGCCATTCAGGTCGTGTCAGGTTGACCCGGATCCGAAGGGGGTTGGGTTCGGGTTGACCCGAATAGTGTTGAGTCAGTTTTGGGTTCGACCCGAGCCCGATCTATGACCCAAAATTGACACCCCTACAAAAAAGAGACAAATTGTGGTGATATCAGCATGCTTTAGACTTTTTGACTTGAAGTAATTAATTTATAATTCATGAATATTGTCGTATATGTTGCTTATGCATCCAATGGAGTCAAAATAACCAATGAACTTCAACATGAGCCAAGTGGAAATGTGAGGAAGGAAAGTAACTCATCAGCAAACTCTTTTCCTACCTCTACACACACCACGTTATTGTTGGTTCTATTCATGATTATTCTGATTAGCATTTTCTGTATTTCAAACTCTGCATTGCCTTTGCTTTTATTCATTACTATCTCTATCCAACTTCTACATTCAGGGCTGGTGCATCGAATGCACAAATCAAGAAAGCAAATATTTGTCAATGCTTCCTTTATTCTAAGAGACTCCTT